ACGGCACTTCTACCACAGGGGGAATATTCTCATAGAACTCCAGCTCTTCCTTGGCTGCACTGACCCACAACACCCCTAAAGACTAAGTGGTCATGGGCATTTTAAAAATAACTTCATTGCAGTAAGCCTGGGAAATGCTTTGAAGGCCTCTTTAATTTTGTTCTTCACAGGTGGTTCTCCCGCTGCGTTGTTCAAAGTCGTGGGCAGGAACTTGTGGATGGACTCAAAACCTGCTTGCAAAGTAAGGGAAGGAGAGGAAAGGAGTTCTGCTCTTGTGGAGCCAGATCTAAGAACTGACAATTCAGCTTCCTCAAAACCTTCCTCTCCTGCTGCCCTGGGAGGAGGCTTTACCAGCCAGCACTTGGATAACTACAGATTAAACATTCTGTTGTAAATACTGCTGAAAATAATAGCATCTTGTTAAATCTTTCACTGATTCCCACATTCCTTTGCAATAATTAAAAACTACTGAGCAGTGCACTTCCAAGAATGCTTTAAGGGAGTGTGATTTTAAAGAGGCCAGTTCCTGCTGTGAGAGAGGCCAGCAGAGCAGGTGTGTCCTTGGGTCCTTTCTGGTTTGGGTGCGCAGGCAAACCAGAGCTCTTTCTTGTAGGTATGCTTGTGTTGCATGATGCTGACCCATTTCACTGGCTTAGTGTAGGATTGAGGACCTTGGTTTTCCAAGTTACTGCTGTTTTTCTAGGAATAAAAACCCATTTTTGTTTCTGAATGAATTGTCATTACAGTTAATGGCTTTTTCTCTTGTTTTTTTTAAGCTGCTCTGAGGAACTGGACTAAATGGAATAAGTGCTTGCCCTCTCGTATTTTTGTGTATCGTGATGGTGTTGGAGATGGACAGCTCAACACTTTGGTTAATTATGAAGTGCCTCAATTTCTGGATTGCTTGAAGAGTATTGGTACTGACTACAGGTAAATCGTTATCTACCAACCCTATTCTTTACACTGCCAGAGACGTAATCTCTGGGATACAAAATGAGACTATGGATGAAGACTTGTCTTTCCATCGGAGCTGATTTTCTGACCTGAGCTCAGATAACTGCTTTTCTGATGATTATTTACATTATTCAGATACTTGACTTGTAATATAATAGGAAAATCCTTAGTACATGCACCACGTGACTGCCACACACATGTGGACACATCCACTCTTTGGGCATTCTTGGTAGATGTGATAATTTACTTTTGCCCCACTGGCTGGTCACAGCCTGATTGTTGTGTGTCTGCTAAGGCCATTTTTTTCCTTTTCACCTCTTGAACAAGTTGTCCAATCACTTATATTTTCAATTTTCTGCTTTGAAACTTATCAACTGCAGTGACTTAATCTGCTCTGAAAAATAAAAATATTTCCTTACACTGCAGGCAAGCAGAGCAGTTAAAATGCTCAATTCTTCTGTTTAGCTTTGTTAATGGCTTTACCAGAAATACTGTTAAGACACAGTGTTTCATATTGGAAACAATGGGATAGAGAGTAGAAATCCAGTTTTATTTGGAAGATCCCTTTTTGATGCATTTTCTTCTCCGTGAAGTTAAAGGAAAGTTGGATTGGTGAAAAATAATGTGAATGTTGTACCTTAACTAAAAAAAACCTAAAGTTGTGAACAATGTCTTGTTTAGTTTGAATCAGTAAAGACTTGCATGTGGAATGAATGCCCTGGAGCTCCAGTGAATCTGCTCCTGAAATACACCTAGTGCAGTTTCCTAGGAGAGTATTGGTTTTTCCCTTTTCCTTTCTTTTAGCCCGAAACTCACTGTGATTGTGGTGAAGAAACGAGTGGGTGCCAGGTTCTTTGCAGAGATTGGTGGAGGACTCAGAAACCCACCCCCTGGGACTGTTGTTGATACGGTGGTGACCAGACCAGAGTGGTGAGTTCCTGCAGAGGTGACACTGCTCCTGCCAGCAGCCTGGTTACAAGGGAAATACATCCCACACTGCATGGACCAAGTGTATTTTTACCCTTGGTAAAAATACTTCCCACACTTCTGTGGTTCAGGGGCTGGAGGAGATGAGCCGTGTAAGCTAAGTGCACATGCAGGGTGGTTATCAGGAGGACAACGAGACAGAACAAACAGTTAAGGTTGTTCTGGTCTCAAGACCTGGTCCGTGGAACAAGATTATGCACGTTCCTCCAGGTCTCCTTCCTCTCGGACACAGAGGAAGCTTTTGTGGCCAGAGCCTAGGCATCCTCCTGGGGTTTACTCAGTAAGCATAGGTGACTCAGAGAGCAAGACAAACACCTGGGGACCTGCCTTTTCCCGAGCACAGCCCGTGTGACAGTGCTGTGCTTCCCTGGGGCAGGTACGATTTCTTCATCGTGAGCCAGACGGTGAAGAACGGCTGCGTTGCACCGACCCATTACAACGTGGTGTACGACACCAGCCAGCTGAAACCCGACCACGTGCAGCGCCTCACCTACAAGCTGTGCCACATGTACTACAACTGGTCGGTGAGTGTTCCTGCTGGGGCAGGCACAGCCTGCAGGAGGGCAGGGCAGGTGGCCTGGAAACACCTGTGGCTCCAAAAAGCCTGCAAGGATGCCTTGGCACCTAGAGCGTTTTGAGGAGCGCATGGTTTATAGTTAGCTCATCTCTCTGAAGATTACAGCAGCCTGTATTCTCCCTAGCATATACCTGTTGTGAGTATTGTTCCCAAGTTCTGTGTCAGAAGCAAAATGGAAGGCATTTGTTACCTGCAGAAGCATCCACTCCTGTATGTGGAGGTGGAGCTGTGTGGCTGCAGTTGCCTCGAGGCCCCTGCTGCACGGCCAGCTCAGCACAGCCAGCTCGTGCCCGAGGTGTGCTTCAGCCGTGCCACTCTAGCAGCCAGGAGCAAAGACACAGCTGAGCCTGTCCCACCCTCTGCAAGGCCAGCACTGAACAGAAACCTGTCTGACAGGTGTCGGGAGGGCACGGGGCTTGGGAAGTTTGGGGTTTTTTGCATCTCTTCTGTTGTGTTGGGTGTACATAAAGTTACTTTCACAAATCAGCATAAACAACAGGGAATACAGATTTTACAATGTGCAGACTTCGGAGGTCCAGGGGTCTTTGTTACAGTGCCTGCATGCTTATTTAAATTACCTGAAATAATTGCCTTTTTTTCTTTTTTCCCCTTTCTACAGGGTATTATCAGAGTACCTGCTCCTTGCCAGTACGCTCATAAATTGGCTTTCTTTGTGGGTCAGAGTATTCACAGAGAGCCGAACCTGATGCTTTCAGACAGACTGTACTACCTTTGAAGCTGAGTTACCAGCCAAACAGAAGAGAGTAGTTCCTCTCTAGGGAATGTAGAATTGTCTGGGCTTTTGGTTTAGTTTGGGTTTTTCATGAGACATGCACAGGATGTGTGCAGTTGTGGAAATTATTTTATTTTCATTGTACCAAGGAAAAGCTTGAGATTCGCATTTTGAACAGGTGTCTGCTTGCTAGAATAACTACACAAATTTTTATGATTTTTGATACTTATTTACTGAAGTTTTTCTCTGATTCTTCCCAACAGTTTATTGATTGTTCTTATTTACATTTTGAGAAGTCTTACACAGAATTATTTCTTGCATGGGAGATAGAGAGTTATGCAGAACAGAATCCAAACTCTTCCAGCTAGTATTTACCCTTCTAATTTTCAAAGTGCTTCAATATTGTTGATTCCTTGTGTTCTTGGTTAAAATGAGGACCAAATTTGCCTCCTGAACTGTGTCATACTGTAAGAGGAGGTGACCAGATGCTCTTGCTTACCAGGGCTTTGTTTGAATGCTGTACAGCCATGCAGAACCTTGGAGGGGTTTTAAAGTTCCTTGTGAGGGATTTGCAAACCAAGCACAA